ATTTAGATTTAACCAGAGGTGAAATTCACCAGCCTAAGAATTTTTAGGGTTAGGGTGCAGTTTTAAGATAAAGGAGGGTTTTATATAACATAATATAGATTTGATATAAGGTCCCGATTTCAGTTCACGTGAGGTTTTCGAAGGTCCTGAACATTTTTACTTAGAATACCCGATCCCGTTTACTTAGTACATTTTTGAGATATAGCACCCCGGTGAATTTCACCTCCGGTGAGTATTCAAATTATATATTATAAAATTCGTGTGTTATTCGAAACAAAGAAGTTGTATAAAATGATACGATTTTTAAAACATCTTAAAAGATTTACACAAGCACCATGAAAACCTCAAAATTTTATTCCCAATTAATTTAAATATTATATATCATGTCCTAACTCTGAACAAAGATTAATGTAAAATTTACATTCAATGAAAAAAAAGTTATCGTTGCTATCGTTATGTAATTTTATTATAAACTAATAAAGATATTTAACCTTTTCATACTGCTCATATTCGGAGCTGTAAAAAATAGTGATAAACATTTGGAAATGGACGCGATTGTTTTAAATAACGGTTCGTTTGTCTTTCATTCAACATTTGGTTTAACTATATAGGATGACTGTGTCATAATATGCGATCAATAAAAGAAAAAAAGAAGCCTTTCACCTGTAGTTAATCAAAACAACTTATTATATAAGATTGCTGTAATGATGTCGACTTTTAAAGAATTGAATACTATAATATATATTTCAAAAAAAAATAATGCATTTTTTATAATTAATATTTGAATTTTCATATCGTAAAAAAAAAAAAAACATTGTTACGCATTACATTAACCTAATTACTGAATTAAAATAAACATAATATTGCAAGTATTAAATCTCGGTATATTACTGTAAAATATCATATACAAGACCCGGGTCTGTTTCATTACACCGATTTTAAACCTATAGTAGACCCGGGATCTAGTGCACAGCTGAGCGTTTATATTGTAGCAAGGTAAACTCTAAAGTACATACCGTATTTTCGCGAAATAACGCGCAGGGGTAATTTCAAAATTTGGCTTAAATTAAGTCTAATTCGGGCCGTTATTCTAAATAACGCTCATATACGTTATTACGCGAAAATACGGTACATACTTTGCATTTGTAATAACAACCTGGATTTTTAAAAACATCTTCATGCATTCATTTAATATAGATTCTGTAGTTGGGGATCTTTTATATGGTCTTTTATGATACTATTTATTACTCAATTTCAATATGCTATTTTATTATATTTATAATTAGAAAAATATTTTATTAATACTGTAATAGGTTAAAACCGATGTTTTCAATAAAAATAACGAATTTATTATCAAGTATAATATTTGTAATTTGATATAATTAGAAAATATTTTATTAATACTATAATCGATGTTTTTAAAATTTATTGCCACAATACTTTATTATATTTTTAAATTAAATACTATTTACATAATACCGACCAACATACTGTATGTTTTTATTTTATTAGAAGATACTTGGTTTCAGCTAAAAATAGCTTACTTGTCCTAGCTACCACGTAGAGGTGTCTCCTATAGCTAGGGAAAATGTCTCGACAAAGAACTCGCGAAAACTCAAGTGAAGCTGGGAATTTTATCAAACCTCAGTTTTTCGAGCAAAAACTGATTAGATAACCCCTGCCACTTGTCAGTTTTGGCTTTAAAGTTCATGTTGACGATACGTGACCCGCTCGAAAGGAACACGAGAAAAAAAAAAAATTGTTTTGACAAAGGACTCGCGAAAACTCAAGTGAGCTGAGAATTTTATCAAACCTCAATTCTTCGAGCAAGAACTGATTAAATAACCCCTGCCGCTTGACAGTTTTGGCTTTAAAGTCCATGTTGACAAAACGTGACCCCGCTCGAAAGGAACACGAGAAGAAAAGGGAAAAATAAGTTATTTCGAAAAAGCACTGGTGGGGATAACTATAAACAGCGTGTAATAAAAATGATAATAAAATATATTAAAGGGAAAATAAATAAATATAATATTCTAAAGTTATTTCGGAAATGCCTCTGGTTGAGATAACTATAAACAACGCGTAATAAAAATAATAAAATATATTAGTTTAAAACGAAAAAAAAACAAGCGAAAAAAAAAAAAAAATCAAAATATCCTAAAGTTATTTCGAAAATGCTTCTAGTAAGGATAACTATAAACAACGTGTAATAAAAATAATAATGAAATATTAGTTAAAACGAAAAGAAAATTAAAAAATAATAATAATAATAAAAACGAAAAAGTCTCTAGTTGGGATAACTATAAACAACGTATAATAAAAATAATAAAGTATATTAGTTTAAACCGAAAAAAAAACCAAGAGAAAAAGAAAAAGAAAATATCCTAAAGTTATTCGAAAATGCCTCTGGTAGGGATAACTATAAACAACGTGTAATAAAAATGATAATAAAATATTAGTTAAAACGAAAAGAAAATTAAGAAAAAAAAATAATAATAAAAACGAAAAAGTCTCTAGTTGGGATAACTATAAACAACGTGTAATAAAAATAATAAAATATATTAGATTAAAACGAAAAAAAAAACCAAGAGAAAAAGAAAAATAAAATATCCTAAAGTTATTCGAAAATGCCTCTGGTAGGGATAACTATAAACAACGTGTAATAAAAATGACAATGAAATATTAATTAAAACGAAAAGAAAATTAAAAGAAAAAAAATAATAAAATATCCAAAGTTATTTCGAAAAAGTCTCTGGTTGGGATAACTATAAACAACGTGTAATAAAAATGATATTAGTTTAAATCAAAAAAAAAATTGATGAAAAAAATATTAAAGAGAAAAAAAAGAAAAATAGATTGTTGTGAAAAGATGAAAAAATGATTCTTATATATAAGGTATCTTAAGATAAACAATGTATACGCGTATTGATAAAAACCATAAAACATGTTGAAACAAGTTTGAAACTTGTAGATTGGCCACTTTGAGTCAATCAAACACCAATCAAGTAGATGATCGTCATTTAAGTGGTTCGTCCACGTGATTATTCCGAGGATTCACGATAATTTGGGCAGCTTACTACAGTATGTTAGTATGTAGTGCGCCAAATAATTCGAATTATTTCAACAACCTTTAGTGTCGCCCGAAAAAAATGGTAGTCGGATTATTTTGTTGGCTTACATACGTGAAAATCTTTTATTTAGTGAAATAAGACCATATAAAGTCAATAACTTGAATTTTATAACATTTGAAAAAAGTAATAAAAGGAAGAGTATATATTAGAAAACCAGGTCATGGATTTAACGCTAATTGACGCGTAAAATCATTCGTTATGTGAAAATTAAAAAAAATCTTTTTTGGTGTAAAGTTTCTAGATTAGGAATTCTCAGCCGTGACGAGCTATAACTAATATACAGCACCAAAATTTTTTTTCTATTACAATACAGAAATATAGAAATATAATACATTTATTGTCCGGAGCGTACTTAGTGTACAGGAAAACTAAATGCAATTTCAATTGTCCGCCCACGTGTTGTCGATCATTTGAAATTCGAATGTTCTAGATTTTTTTATAAAATTAACGCTCCGGATATCACCTAGCATACCTAGCATAAAGTAAGTATATATATTTTAAAAAAGATCTGGCAAATGAATAGCGTTAAACATTATATTGGTTCTAAACCTAAAAAATACACAACTAAGCAAGCATAACGATAAAACAGCACTGATATTTACCATATTTTGCTTGCTTTCTACTAATCAAAACTTGACTAATCAGAATGCATAAATATGAAAAATTGACCAACCAGAGAACAAATCGAAATTTATCGCTTAAATGACATTGTGTGTAATTTCCCATGAAATAAATTT